GCAGCGCGGGTCAATGAGGATGCTGAGGCGCGAGCTGTCGGCTCTCTCCACGGTGACCAGGGCGCCGTTGGCACCGGCCGGCCCTGTGCTGACGACGGGCGGCAGGGCCGTGCCTGGGGCGTGTGCGTGGTTCAGGAAGAGCACGGCCCCGGTGACGGCCACGGCCAGCAGCACCGCCAGGGACAGCAGCACCGTGCACAGCACGTAGCCGCAGCTCGGCCGCTGCAGGCCGGCCAGGCGCACGGACGGACAGACGGACAGACAGGAGAGAGAAGGGGAGGCGGCATCAGGGCAGACCCGGGCCTCCAGCACTGCCCCGTGCGGGCGACCCAGGCAGCCCCAGTCGGGGCCTCAGGACAAAGCTTAGGGGGAGCCCTTCTTGGGGACGGGGAAGGGAGCCCTAGAGACAGAGACGAAAGGACACACCGAAGAGAGCAAGGGCAAGAGCGCGAGAGATGCTGGGAGACGGGGAAGGAGAGGGCGGAAAGGGAAACCGAGGCAGAGAGGCCGATGGAGAGAGTGACCCCTTCCCACCCCACTCAGCCAGCTCAGGGTGGGGCCCTCGGGGTCTGCAGAGGGCTGGAGGTGAGGGTCCCACTCTGCAGCCAGGCTCAGGTCCCCACGCTGCCGTTTCACGTGGGGCGACCTGGGGTGAGGCACGTCCCTCACTGAGCCTCGGCGTCCTCACTTGTGAAGGGGCGATGATGGATGCTCCACCTGCCCAGTGACGGCAGCGCCGCTACAAACTGTCTCTGTCCCGGCAGAATGAGCGCCTTGGGGTGCCCATCACTGACGGTCCCTTTCGACCCGGAGCACCTGCATCCCAGGTCCCAAAGCCTGTGCGTCCCGGGAGGCTGCCGGGAGTCCAGGACACAGGGCGGTCTCCCCAGCCCGCTGCTCCCCCCTCCTCCCACTCTCCATGGGGGGGGCCGGACAAACAGAATCAACACCTTGGTGGCAGAGTGCCACTAAGGTGGGAAAGGGCCTCCCCCCCCCTAAGGAGGCGAGGGCTGGGGCGACGGGGCAGCTGTGACTCCCAGAGCAGGAAAAGAGGCAACTTGGGCAAAGAATGGAGGCAGCAAGGCCCGGCTGGGCTTGAACTGGGTCTGGGGCCAGCAACCAAGGGAGCAGGAGCCCTGTGCAGCTGGCACTTAAAGGAAGCGCCGTGACACTAGCAAATCCAGACTTACTGGACCTGACCCCTCACGGCCCAGAGGGAGCTTGCAGAGACCACCAAGCATTTGACACATGGGGAAACTGAGACCCAGAGAGGGCAAGGGGCTCGCCCCGAGTCACACAGCAAATTAGAAGCAGAGCTCAGGCTAGACCCCCCAGCCTCCCACCTCCCGCCAGGGCCAGGGCCAGCCACCTCCAGACTGAATTCCCTCCCATTTCCAACTTTCTGGACTCAACGCGTCTCTAAATGAGTTAGCACAGGGACGCGCTGGGCCCGCTCCTGGCGCCACGGGCTTGTGCAGTAAATACTGGCGGCTTTTACTATCTTGTGACCAATGGACACAGAGCGTCGGGAAGTGCTTGTTTTTTTATTTTCCACCCAAAGTGTTGTTTCTGTGTGTCGCTGATGCCGGGACCCACATTCTCTTTTTCTTACATTTTCACGTCTCTAATGTTGGGGGGCATCTTACAGCTGTAATTGGCAGCTTTCTTTCTAAGTGACACATAAGATAGTGGTTCCTCTTACATCACACAAGAGGTCTCACTATGAGAAAATGTGGCGGAGCGAACAGCTTCTTTTCCATAGATTCAAATCTACAAGTAATTTCCGAGTGCGCTGCTGCGCCCGGGGGAGGCTGGGGGCCGGGGAGGGCGCAGGCGGGCACGCAGACCCCGGGAGGCCGTCTGTGCTACCGGTGAGATGAGGGAGGGAATCCTTAGCCCAGCGGTTTCCAACCGGGGCGCCGTGAGCATGTTTAAAACATGCAGTTCCTGACTATTTAGTCCGGGGCACTGACCTCTTTTCCCTGAGATTGTCAGATAAAAAAAAATGACAGCGGCCAATCCAGCAATAGCCGTCTGTCTGTGAGGTGTGAATGCCCGTCTTGAACCAAACAAGGTTGCGTCTCACGGGTTAATTCTTGGTACCAGAAATCCTTATATACATGTACAGGCCCCTGATTTTTAAAAAAAGTCACTTTGGAGCAAAAAGGACAGGTAATTACTATACCATTATTTTGTGTGTGTAAATCAATCAAAATTATACCTATTTTCTGTCAGATCAGCAAAAAGTATGTTTTTGGTGCGCCGCAGAATTATAATAATTAGTTTATGTGCCATGAGATGAAAACGGTTGAAAATCACTGCCTGAGCCTGAACCTGCCGAGATGGGGACTCACTGCCCCTGACTCGCTCCAGCCCCCCTCTTGGCACCCAGGGCACCCCCACCCGGGGCACCCCCACCCGGGCTCACACACCCAGACGGTTTACTCCCGCAGACCTGCTCCGGTGGCTCCCCTCCGCCAGCTCTGCACAGGCCGTGCGCGGGGGCCCGAGGCTCCGCTTCCCCGCTCCTTTCCCACTGGCCTAACTCGCTCTCCTCCCTCAGGGCTCAGCCAGATGCCACCTCTTCCAGGAAGCCTCCCTTGACTGTCTCCTCAACCCTCCCCCCAGTTTAGGAAGGGCTCTTGTTCCCTCCTCGGTGGCACTTATCAAGACACAGTCATCGCTTTTGACTTCATCCATTCACTCACTCAAACATCTAGTCCCTGCTCACTGGTGTCCCCATGAGCCGGGCTCCAGGCCAGCCTTCACAGTGGACAGCTGTCCTGGCCCTGCCCTGAGGGAGCTCATGTCCCACAGGCTGTGACTGTTATCTTCTTTGGGGGCACAGATCCCTTTGAGGGGATAAAAGCTATGGACACAGGGAAAGCTGGCATTCGGGGGTTGGCAATCCCAGGCCTGGGAGACTTGCCCTGGACCATGAACCCCCCCCCAAGGGCAGGGAGCTGGCTGTTGGGTGGATGGAAGAGCAGATGGACTTGGTCATTTTTCTGTGGCCATGCTGACGTAGAGGAGGCAAGGGGGACCTATAGGGGGACCTATAGGCCTAAGGACCTATAGGGCTTGGTAGGGTGGAGGCCCATGACATCTATGCTGAACCCTGGTCCCCAAGGCAGGGCACCTCTGGCCCTGGGACCACCTCCGATGGCCTGGCACAGAAAGAAGGCAACCTCCTGGACGTCCCAATCCCCAGTCACTGCAGGTCGGCAGCTTCCGGACCAGTGGGCACCACGTTATCACGGCTGAATCTATACCGTGTTCTGCCACTGGAACCTCCACATAACCCCTGCTAGGGCCACGTTCATTTTGCAGATGGGAACACTGAGGCTCAGAGAGCAGAATACTTTGCCCAAGGTCACCCAGAAGGCAAATGGCCCGGCCAGATTTGAACCCAGGGCCGGGTGGCTCTGGAATCACACCATCTGTGCCCAGGATCCTTGCTGATTAAACCCACAGCGTCTTCCCTCTGCCTCGGGGAACTGGGGTTTGAGAGAGAGAGCTCTGTCAGCAAGCAAGTCTCTGCAGGCCCCTCCCCAGGTCCACCGGGACACCCTGTGCCGCAGAGCTCAGAGAGATGTCCCCCACCTGAAGAACACTAACGTCCCAGCGGGGGAGGCAGAGTGGCCGGCCATGCCCCCGTATCTCCAGGACCCACCCTCTCAGGCTCCCACTCCTACCCAAGCCCCAGGTCCCTGGCTGGAAGGCAGGGATCGTGGAGGAAAGGAGGGGCTCAAGAAAGCTGCAGGGGTCCCCCCCGGGGCAGGGCGACAATGGTAGTTGGAGACGAAATGGGCCGCTCGGCAGAGGAGACTGAGTCTTCAGAGAGCACCTTACACACGAAGGACTGCTCGCCTCACAGGCTGCGTTTGCGTGCCCGAGATGCTAAGGGGGGGTTTGGGGGGCGAGCGGCCCAGCCAAGGGTGCTGTGGGGCCGGAGCGTATTCACCAGCGGTGGCCGTGGCAGAGCGGGGTACACACCCTGGGGTGCACACAGGCCCCCCTTCCAGCGGCGATGGGCGGGAGACTGGGAAGGTAACCCAGGGAGTGGGCTGGAGAGGAGCCCCAGGTTTGGGCCTCCTGCTGCCCCAACCACCCGCATGAGCTCCCAACTGGAGGGACGTGGCTTTGTCCCCCATGGAACCCCCAGTTCCGGCCCACGGTCAGGCTGCCCAGGAGGCCCTGGTGAGGACGAGATGGGCTCGTGTCAGGGGAGGCAGGAGGTTGGAAGCCCCAGAGGTGCCTCAACTGCAGGTGGCATCCGTCCCACTGCCTCTGAGT